AGAATTGAGGCAGTTCTGAAGGCAAAAGGGGGTCCAACCCGTTACTAGCGTGGTGTACCTAATAAAGTGGCCGGTGAGTGTATGTTGCAGTTTCCAAAATGAGAATGTAATAAGAACGATTTCCACAACACATTAGGAATGGGCGATATGGATTAAAAAAGGTATCATGATAATTTCTAAGTTTTCTCACTGTAACATGTGACGAAAAAATATATATAAAATCAGCCTAATCTTTTGGATTATACATTTATCACTACATTCTGTCTTGAGAGCCGTAAAATAATACTAGAAGCCACTAAACTACATTAATTAAGTTTGAGTAGTACACCTGTGTCGCAAAACTGACACCCATCAAACAAGTCTGAAATATGAGAACAAATTTGATTCAAACAGCAAAAATTACTTGGCTTATAAAAACCACAACTGTCAACACAGTCTGGTAAAAAAAATCAATAAATTCCAACGAACATGTAAAAACTGAAATGCCTTTTTATGCAAGCCTGCAGAAATATCTGTATTTGCATATTAACTGTATACGCAGCAGGATTTTATTGGTTTTTATCGCAATATTACAAATTATTACCATGGTGAATTTCTTTGATGGTATATTGCACACGATAACATATCACCCATCTCTAATTCCAATAATATAAATCTGGAATTACTCTAATTAAAAAGAAAACCTGAGTGTCACTAATTACTCTTAGAGATGTTTCCATACCTGTGTCAGACCACCACTTCACAGGATTCATGGAGCTGTGAGAAGACACACACTCTGCCTGCTTTTCCTTCTCCTGGTCCAGCATGGAACGGGACAGAGCCAGGGCCACCATGGTCTCTTCATCCAGAGGCTCAGTCTTGTTTCTGGGTTTCTTCCTGGCTGGAATGCTTGACTTCGGTAGACCTTTTCTTTTTTTAACTCCAGACTGTAAGCTAAAGCAAGAAAACAGACAATGTATTGAGGTTTTATTGAGATTTTTCATTGAATTAAGCGTGTTTCATAACAAATGTGTGTGTTAATTGTTAAAAGCTCCACTGTAACCTCACAGTGTGTAGCTGACTGAACGGTTCTTACAGTGTGTTAGAACTCTGACGCTCCTGAGCCTGTCTCTGCAAAACCTGCATCAGCACTGCCGGAGAGACGCCCATGTCTGCGGAGCAGTGCTTCAGATGGGACAGCCGGCTCCTCTGAGACTTGAACTTCCTGCCACAGATGGGACAGTCGGGGACAGCGGAGACTGGAGGGGGGGCTGGGCCACTCTTTTCACTCTCATCTAAGCACCTGCAAAAACATTAAACACTTTGTGTAGTCCAGGTTTCCTTGCTGCCTCCCTTCAAAAGTTGTTTCCAGCTCTCCTACCTCAACAAAACTACAACAAAACACGTCAACAGACATGATTCTGTGCTCATTTTTTATGCTTGAAGCCTAAATACTTAAAGCGATCCTCGAGTAGATGTAACATTAGACTTTATTTGATAAACATTTATTTTAACTGTAAAATAAAGACTGTAAAATACTGTAGGCCGTTTAGTTTTGTAAATTTAAAAAAATATATTTTAAAATGGACGGGGCCATTTTATTTCTACACAAAGCATTCTGGGTAAATGATGACGTGGATAGGTCCTCGGTGCGAGGC